ATTTGCTCTTATATATATACATATATACATTGAATTGATCTCAAACCAATTCCTAGCATACTCAAATATCATAATATATTATTTATAAATATATAACATATTTATTATTATTTATCATAAAATATTCAAATTTTTGGGGTTTTACACTAGAAGACTCTTTAGTAACATTGGCAATTGAATGTTTCATCTCCCAAGACTTTGACTGTGAATTATCATTTGCTTTGAGCGCTGGACAATTAGGTTTTATATGTCCATACTTGTGACAGTAATAACATTCAACATTTTTTCTTGGCCTGGTGTTTAATAGTGCGAGGTGTTTAATATAATTTTAATATGTTTTACACGTGCATTGGCAAACTACCGGTATCCTAGTCAAACATATTGTGTTTTTCACTTCTACTAGTTCTTGTGCACATGCAATGCACTTGGTTAGATATTAAAATTATTATGTTTGTTTATTTTCTTACTATAAAATAAGTCAGATTCATTTTCAATTAAATTATATAAACATGGATTATTACTTTTGCCATAAATTTTATTTAAACATTTTTAAAAAAAATATGAAATAGATTTGTGTGTAAAACTAGGATCACTATACTTTTATATACTTGCATACACAATATTATTTATTTAAATTTGTATATATCAAACTTCATGTAACATATTTGTTTATCGGATTAAATCATCGATGTCCAATTTGTTTATCCTAGTCATTAAATATAATGATAAGTTTGAAAAAAATACAATAATATATTATTGATGTGTTAATAAAAATATAACTAAATGCTTAATATTAAGATGACTTGTATAAGCTCAGCACAGAGCACATACTTTTCACAAGACTAGAAGACATCTTAATTATTGATAAACTTAAAATAAAAAATAAATACTAAAGATTAATGGTGACTCTAGTATAATTTTATATGACAAAATCATTCACATAAGCGTATTAAAAATTTTGCATGAAAATCCCTTCTAAAGGATACTAATTTTACTCAAAAAATTAAGTTTTACTATAAAATATTTAAAAATATTATCATTTATTCATTCTTTATTCATATTTAATTAAACTGAGATCAATCTTTCTCCACCTTTATCTTTTTCATGGGTAATTTTATAGTAGTGTATTCATTGTCTACATTAATTGTGATATCATGTTAGTATATAATAAAGAGAAAAGGACAAGACAAGAGTCTAGAAATATATTAGGATATACTTGAATCAATTAAATTATATTATTACTCATAATTGATATGCATCAGAGACAGAATATGTTGACAATCTTAAACTATAAAACAGACTATTTGTGCCCTCTAACATAATTTTTCTAATGCAAGCAACTCTCAAGATTAATTTTAAAAATCTCTTGGGCCAGAATAAACACTAACAACTTTGCAGTGGAAGATAGGGGAACGTAATACACTCTTAAGAATTATTAATCTTTACCTTAATTTGTTTATAATGACAAAATCTCATTATTAACTAACTACAAGGTCTAGTACATTATTATTTTTATTGGATGTTCAAGGTAGACAGAGAACCCAGGTAAGTCCTCATCGCAATGAATGCTATACAATTTAAGTGCAAAGAAAAAAGGAGAGTTGATCAATGGTGTAGTTTGAGAGGGAAAAACTCCAACAACATAATTTGGGTATGTGGATATATTATAGATAGAGATGGAAAATGGTGGTTTTGAAAACAGTGGTGTCTGGGGGTAATTAATATGGTTTTTCTTTGTGTGGTTTTCTTCGTTCATTTTCGAGATATCTCTGGTCCTGTGGATATATATAACAATAGTATTGCTACTCTCTTTTGATTTTGTAGAAGAGTTTGGGGTGTAAATAAAATTAAATTATCTAATCCGGTTAAAGTAAGATTATATAAGTTAAGTCTGTACATAAAATTTATTTTAACCAACACTCATATGTAAGTATTATAATTGTCATTGAGATCTAAGATACGTGTGTGATTCCATTTGATTTTTATACAAACAATATTTATTTAAATAATAATAGTATAATTAAACTTTATGATCTGAAAAAATTAATATACAATATAATTAATTGCTTTAAAATAATCTAATCTAATCTAATAAGAAGAAAATAGATGAAAGTGATGTGAAAATTGTTGAAATTTCATAACTCATAATTTTTAAACAATCTATTATCATCTAATAAGAAGAAAATAACAAAGCCACATACACGTTGAAGGAGATAAAAGTGCTATAAAAATTATTATAATTTCTGATCTGAAAAAAGATCAAACATATAATATAGTTAATTATTTTAAAATAATCTAATTTAATCTAATAAGAAGAAAATAGATGAAAGTACTGTGAAAATTATTGCTATTTCATAGTTCATAATATTTAAACAATCTAATTTAATATAATAAGAAGAAACTAACAAAAGCACACACCTATAGAAGGAGATAAAAGTGCTATGAAAATTGTTATAATTTCTTGTCTTATATATATTGGTACGCGATGTTGCATGTGAGAAGATAACATTATAAATAGAGTTTTATTTAAATAGTAATAGTATAATTAAACTTTAAAACTAATTATGCAGTACTATGAACTACTTGAATTTTAGTCGGTGAGAGATCGTCACGTTGTTGTAGGCGTCAAAAACTACTTAATAGGTCTCCGAACATAGCTCGAGACGGAGAGAAGACGATGAATGTCATTATTCGAGCCAAGGAATATTATCCCACACCGATAAATGTATGAAGCGAATTGGTGAAGCGTACAAGTCAGCGGAGCGACGAAACGCGTGTAAAGGCACAAGCGCAAAACAAGCGAACTGAAGGGGCTGCAACAGCCAAAACGTTAAAAAGACGAACGAAATAGGTCAGGAGGCTCGCGTGAGTGCGAGCCACCAAATGGTGACTCGCGCCCATGCGAGCCACCAAATAGTGGCTCGCACAGCTCCGAGCCACCACGAGTACTACTGACTCCTAAGACTCCCAAAACGCAGATTTTAATATTTTTTAAGGATTCTTTCGTTACAGGACCTCCCCAACTGTTCTGAAGCTATCCTTAAGTATGTTTGGGCGTTATCAACTGCAGATGACGCCAAAATACTTGATCTTATCAGAAAACAAGGTGACAAAAGCCTATAAATAGAAACCCATGGTCTTTATTTGAGAGGATCTGAAATCAGAGGGCGAAGTGCTGTCAAATTGAGCAGTAAACCACGAATTTCAGAGGAGAATTGGCGAATCTTGGTAAACTTTTTCATAAAGAAAAAGCTTTCGAAAGATTTGAGATTCTCTCCTCCTCTTTCCTCCGGATTAAACTTGGTTTTAATCTCGAGAAGAGCCATAATTTCGCTTGGTTGTGATTGTCGCTGCTACAATTGTTTCCTTTGTGAAGCAAGAACATAATTATTTTGTCAACCGAATATGATCTGCAGTGGTCCACGGACTAATGCGTCCCCGACGTAGGTAAAGATCCCATGCAAAGCAACAAGAGATAAACTACTGCTGTGTTTTGTTGGATAAAGTTGGAATTTTTACTTTTTCATTGTAAGAGGGTCTTATAAAAATATCGACTTTTCTTTCAGTTTGAACTTTTAATCGATAAACGGTGTAATAGGTTTAACAGCAATGTAAAAAGCAACTTTTGACGAAAACAATTCTATCCTTAGATCGTAGCCGTTTGTTTTAATTTTCCTTTTTTATAATTTTGAGAACGACTTCTGTCTCTTTAATTTTTTTGGTGGATTTTGCAAATATCCTGTCCACACTATGTATATTTGTAGGTCTGTGCTATTTCTGGGTTCAACCTTTAGGATAAACATTATTTATCTCGTTAATTTGTTTAGTTTTTGCATATACGCCCTTCATCTTGTATACATTTGTAAATTTGATATTTAATAATTTTATTAATGTTTACATTTCAATTTAAACTATATTATTATCTTCATACTATGTATATCCAATAAGAATTAATTAATTTATCAACTTACTATTACTTAATGGAAGGGTATTTTTGTCTACCGAAAGATTTTTCTGAACTCGTGCTTTTAAAGAGAGTATGATCATCTTCTTTCATCTCTTACCAAAAGAAAACCAAAATTAATTAGATGGGTTTAGGGAGCTGTGTCGCTGTTGGTCAATGGCAAGTGACTAAATTTGAGGCTTTTTTAAAGAGAGTGGTAATGTCTAACTTTCTCAGCCTCTGTCGGTTGGTATAAAACCTCACAACTTTTATTTTTTGATAGTTAATTTTTTTTCCTAATGAAATGATGGCTCAATCCGATATCTCACAGTCTATATTACATTATGGTAACATATAGATTGAATATTTTTCTATTCATGCACAATATCTCTAGAAAAAACTCATAAAGGTATTTCATTAAAAATTTGATTAAAAACTATCTAAAAATCCCATGAGCCCGTCTTTTGCCTTATTATTTCAGAATTAAGAACTACATAAAATTTACGAAGCATTATTTTTATTCTATTTTTAGGGCTGATTGGTTGGATGGAAATGAAGTTGTAAGAGTAAGTAGAGCAATCAGATTTGTAAATGCATTGCTTGCAACATTGTATTTATGAAATATAAATGAACTTGTATTTTTGTAGAAAAAACTTACAACAAATATCACAACCAATTTGGTGAGAGGAAAAGCTGCAGGCTTCAAGGAAAAAAAAATTAAAGAATAAATATAATCCCACCTCATTGAAGAAAATACTTTTAAACTCAAATAGAAAAACCGCCTGCATCAAGTTTTCTTATATGACAAATTTATATAGTTTTTACACTAATTATTATTTAACCAAACACTAAATTTATAGTGAAAATATTTTTTATATAATATAATTATAGATATCCTAATAATAAATTTAGAGTTTATTTTATATAAGAAATGTTGCGTGCAAACCAAATTGCCCCTCTATCACGTGCACAGCAGCACACGTCTGAAATATAAATTACGGGTCGGGTTTGAACTGCTTTATCGGCTCACCCCCAAACCGCAATCCT